TGCAGAACCTGGAAGAAATAATAAAATTCATTTGAGCGACAAAAACTCAGTATATGATAAAAATACATTTATTTTTTAATGTATACATGTACACTGATAGTCCGACAGAAAACTTCATGACTCCGTTTGATATTATCAGTAGGACTTTGGCTGCTGCGTCACTGATGATAGAGATTTTACATCAGGTTTATATTTAGTGACCTTCAGAGATATGCACGAGCTACTACTTTCGTCCCTCAGGCTACTCCTATTATGAGACTTAACAGAATTCATCACTGAGAACAAAGATTCACAATTGCAAATGGAAGATTATGAGAGAGGGTTTCGCGTGCCAGCAAAAGTTACTGGCGTGTCATGTTTGGCACGCATGCCAGGGGTTGCCCACCCCTGATCTATAACCATTTCAGGATAAAGAGTTGGTCACGTCACGGACCCTTCTGGTAAACACAAGCCCTCAAACCCGGTTTGAGGAGAAAGCTTTGCTCTGAGGGGCTCACTGAGCTTGTCCAGATGTTTGTTCGTTCATTCATTCATTCATCAAATATTTATTAACACCACGGCATGCCAAACAACATTGTGCTAAGCTGGTGGGTGGAGTGGGGAGCAGAGTTTAGTCTGGCGAGAAGGGACTGAGTAAGCGGGAGTGGCCCTGAGATGACTCGAGGGCTGGGCTGGGCCGCGATAAGGCGGTTCTGAGCCTTATATGTGGGACCCTCCACTGAGTTTATCTCCAACGTCTCCCTCATCCTGGGAAGAACTCTCGGCTCAGGCAGCCTCACGGAGCCCACGGGAGCCGAGCAGGCTGGGGATGCAACCACATATAAGGCTCAGAACCGCCTTATCGCGGCCCAGCCCAGCCCTCGAGCCCCCTCAGGGCCACTCCCGCTTACTCACTCCCTTCTCGCCAGACTAAACTCTGCTCCCCACTCCACCCACCAGCTTAGCACAATGTTGTTTGGCATGCCGTGGTGTTAATAAATATTTGATGAATGAATGAATGAACGAACAAACATCTGGCCACAGTCTTGCCTTCAAGGAGCTCACAGTCTGGTGGGAAAGGTCCACAGGGCCTCTGACGGGGGATGTTGGCCAAGGGCCTGATGGAGCCTGGGGAGTGGGAAGACCCTGGTGGGCGTGCGAAGCTGGGGCCTGTGGATGAGTAGGAGTTCGCCAGGGGGAGTGTGGCAGGGGCGGGAGGGAAGGGAGTGATTCTGAGGATAGTCCTGCAGGCAGGAGGAGGTAACTGAGCTCAGAGTGCTGGAGGAAGACCTGGCCAGGAGAAGCAAGAGGACTGAGGGTAATTCTGAGCAGGGAACGGAAGAACCCTGAGGGTCCTCACTGCTGACTAGGTCTCAAGTTTAGGGGAGCTGTCTGGGTAGAGATAGCCATGGGGAGTTCCCAGGACAGATGGCACCAGAAGCCAGAGTGGGGAGCTGGTCTGAGGAGACAGGATTGAGTGAGAGGATTAGGGACCCCCAAGGAAGGGCCCCAGTGGGTGGGAGGAGGCTGCCCCTGAGGTGTAGGAAGTGGAGGGGTGAGAGGGAGCCAGGGACGAGCTAGAAGGAAAACCAGGAGAGAGAGGTGTCAGGGAATTGTGGGTAACTCCTTTTTTTTAAATAAATATGTTCTTATTGATTTTGAGAGAGAGAGAAAGAAAGAGGGTGAGATAGAACATTGATGAGAGAGAAATATCAACATCCTGCATACCCCCAGCTGGGGGTCAAGCCCGTGCAACCCAGGCATGTGCCCAGACAAGAAACTGAACTGTGACCTCTTGGTTC